GGGCTTAGCAGTGCTGACAGGCAGGGTCAAGGCACCAGCTCATTAACATCCAAACTGGCAGCCCCAAAGAGTTCATGCCCCTTATATACTCCCAAGCAGGCAGAGCATCCAGACCTCCCCACACGTCGGCCTCTCCAGCCCATTCTTTGCTCAGACACACTCAGTGAGAGTTTTGTGAAGTAGACGCCTGCCCCATGGGAAGAATGTTCTCACCACAAGTGGTGTCACATGCATCACAGGCGAACACTGTTTGGCCGTCCTGGCCTGGGGCAGGTCTGAGCCAGTGACCTGGCTCCCACTCCCATTCCCAGCCCCCTGAGCAATCAGTCCCCACGCTGCTCTGCAAGGATAGTTCCCAAATCTGCTCAGAGCCTGATGCGATAAGGAGCTCCAGCATAGTCACTCGGGGAATGGCTTCAATGGCTGGACCTTTTGCAGAAGTGCATTTCTAAAAGAGCTCCCATTTGAAAGCCAACTTTCAGGTCTTGTAGGCTGGTGGCTAAAACCCACCAACCATGTGCGTGATTGTCCCGCCTCCTCCGATTTCCCGTACTGGATGGATTCTTAGCCCAATTCAGCTGTGTCTATAACACTCATCTACGCTGCTATAGTGCCCTTTGTACCAAGGGACCCTAAACTGTGCAAGCAGTATACTCAGCAGTCTCTCCCCTCATCCCTCAAATGTAGCCATCTCTGGGGTGGAATGTACCAGCCATTTCTGCAACAACAATATCTCAAAACAACAAATGCAGCAGAGGGAATTGAGGGAAGGCAGGATGTTTGCTTGGGACTTTAGAGTCCATGACGCTAGCAAAAATTGCCAGGAGATTTGTGGGGCAGATTTTTAAAGAGTCGCAAAAAAAAAAGCTTTAAAAAAATGGAGTTGTGCCCACAAATCAGGTATTTAGATGCTTAGATGAAGGCTAGGACTATAACAGGATTTAAAAAAGAACTAGATAAATTCATGGAGGTTAAGTCCATTAATGGCTATTAGCCAGGATGGGTAAGGAAGGGTGACCCTAGCCTCTGTTTGTCAGAGGGTGGAGATGGATGGCAGGAGAGAGATCACTTGATCATTACCTGTTAGGTTCACTCCCTCTGGGGCACCTGGCATTGGCTACTGTCGGCAGACAGGATACAGGGCTGGATGGACCTTTGGTCTGACCCAGTATGGCCATTCTTATGTTCTTACTCAGATATTTGCATATGCATATACCCAATTCCTGTCTGTCTATACAGGCTAGTCCCACAAAGATAGGCATGCATTGTGGCATTCACCAGTGGGTCTCCTTTGTAGAATGTGTGGCTCTTAGTAAGTGCTGGTCTGGTCTCTGTCTCAGCCAGCAATTCTATCTTTTGCTGCTCAGTGTCCCTCCGGGGCTGTTCTGGGATACAGGTCCAGGACTGGCTCCCATGTGACGAGCACTACCTATTAAATTACCAAGGCCTCATCCCCAGGAGGTCTTGCATCCAAGCACAGGTCTAGCCCATACCTGCTGAGATGTGCTAGGTTCCCAGCACAAGGCATCTGGCCTGTTTCTTCCTGTAGAGAAGTCAGGATGCTGGGTTGGGGAGATTGCCATCGATTCCACGGCTCCGTAATGCCCTGCCTTGAACAGAGGGAGCAGCAGGAGAGCCCGGGCCAGGCAAGGCACAAACCGAGTTGGGAACAGCAAGGTAAACACTGTCAAACAGGAACTAACAGTGGTTTTGTGGTCAAGTTTATTATGGTGATTTGTGTCAGAGGGTCCCAAAGTGATGTAGAGTCATACCCAGGGATCCCTTCTAATGCTCACTGAGAGCCAGCTACCTCCCTGTTCAACATCACACAGCTTAGCCGGGAAGGGAGGAAGGGGAATCCCTGCTGGTAATGCTGGCCATGGAATAGCTAGGAGAAGAAAAACACACACAGCCAAACAGTGACCTGCCTGTATCCTAGCCTCTTCTCCCCAGCAGGACAGCACAAAATCTCCCTCTCCCGCACGGGTTTCCCTTTCTGACCTGGGGAGTCTTGTTAAGGGGAGAGAGGTTTATTTCTAGGCTGTCCTATAGCCCTTCTCACAGACACTGAGGGCTTTAGCCTTGTGTCCCTGTGGCAGGGAAGGGTTACTGGCCCCCTCTTACAGATGTGGAGGGAACTCACCCTGGGGCAGAGCTGGACGTTGCACCCAGTTTCCCCTTGACCCACCCCAGGTCTTCACCACCAGGCCCTCCTCAATTTCTGGGGGGGAGGGGAGGGAGCAGCAGTTGGGACTCGCTCCCCGAGGCGAGGGGTGGGGCTGTGCTTGCAGGGTTCTGGGGGGAAGCGGGGGAGGCCTTGGACACCAAGGTAGGAATGAGTGAAAGCCTGGGTTCTCTTCCCCTGCCTGCCGTGGTGATCACCCTCTCCTGGTGCTGAATTATTAAGCGTGTTGTTTTCTTTTATTGCTGTGCTGGAGGAGAACTGCCTCACACCAGCTCTGCTTTGAATGTGATTATGTGCTGGGGGGGATGTCAGCGCCAGCCGGGCCCCACAGAACTATCTTCCAGCCCTCGCACGCCTTCGCCTTCCCTTGCTCTTATTTATTTGCTTGCTCCTGTGTGTGGCTCAGCGCGCACGGTCCCCTCTCTCTGCAGCACAGTGGGTCCCTCGGAGGAGGGGAGATTTAGTGTCTGACAGAGCTGCTGCACCCGTCGCCTCAGCTGGAGACTGCTCAGGGCCTGCTCCGTGCAGGGACTGTTTATCTTGCCCTGAGGATTCTGCTTCTTTCCTCTGCGGGACGGCACGTGAGCCATAGCAGGGATTTGTCCCCAAAGCCAGCCTCCTCCGGAGAAACAGGGAACTTGCAGGGCAGCAGCAGGGCTCAGGCAGGCATGTGGTAACTCCCCAGAGCCTCTCATTGGAGCAGCAGGGCATTCCTGGGATCCAGGCCCCAGCTCTGGCTTGGAGGGGGACTTGCAGGCATGGTCGGCGGGCAGAGCAGCACGCAGGAGCTTTAGAAGCACAGCATGGGATGGTTATTTTCTTGTAATAGCCCCTTGGCAGCAGAGCTAGAATGTCGTGATTCTGCCCTTCCCTGGCCTATCCTACAAGAGCCCCATGCAATATGAAAAGCTAACACACAGGGACCTTGTCAAGTCCCCGATGTAGCTGGAGGCTCCCAGTCGTCCTGTCCCTCAGCCCGTTAGAATATCCCTAGAGCCATCCCAAAGGAGAACTGATGTGCTTCCAGCTGATCCATTTGTTTGCACCCCTCTGGCCAGAGCCAGCCCATCCCTTTGCCACTGCACTGCCCCCAGCCTAACCAGTGCCTGTCCCTCACAAGTCATTGGTGGGGCCAAGCTGCTGAGCTGTAGCCATTGCCTGGACTTAGAACTGGCCAAACAGCAGGGCTGGGCTACCCACAGCACATGCCCGGGGCAGGTGAATGAGCGAGCGGGCGCAGTGACGGAGTCCGAGCGGCAGGGCTGGGCT